TGGAGACATAAGGTACTGGAATAATTTCTCAGAGATTTTGGTCCATATTGATATAAGCACATGTTGCAGATTTGTCAGCTGCACATCAATGATGTGCATCTCCCATTCCACCACATCCCAAAGGTTCTCTAGTGGATTGAGATCTGGTGACTGTGGAGGCCATTTGAGTACAGTGAACTCATTGTCATGCTCAAGAAAGCACTCTGAAATGATTCAAGCTTTATGACATGGTGCATCATCCTGCTGGATGTAGCCATCAGAAGTTGGTTACACTGTGGTCATAAAGGGATGGACATGGTCAGCAACAATACTCAGGAAGGCTGTGGCATTGCAACAATGATCAAGGCAGGATGGATCCATGCTTTCATGTTGTTGATGCCAAATTTTGACCCTACCATGTCATAGCAGAAATTGAGATTCTTCAGACCAGGCAACATTTTTTCAATCTTCTTTTATCCAATTTTGGTGAGTCTGTGTGAATTGTAGCCTCAGTTTCCTGTTCTTACCTGACAGGAGTGGCCCCCAACGTGGTCTTCTGGTTTTGTAGCCCATCTGCCTCAATGTTTGACATGTGTGTTCAGAGATACTCTTCTGCATACTTTGGTAGTAATGAGTGTTATATGAGTTACTGTTGCCTTTCTATGAGCTCAAACAAGTCTGGCCATTGTCCTCTGACCTCTGGCATCAACAAGGCATTTTCACCCACAAAACTACTGCTCACAGGGTGTTTTCTTCTTTTCAGACCATTCTTTGTAAACCCTAGAGATTGTCATATGTGACAGTCTCAGTAGATCAGCAATTTTTGAAATACTCAGACCAACCTGTCGGGCACCAGCAACCATGCCATGTTCAAAGTCACTCCAATCACCTTTTTTCACTATTCTGATGCTCGGTTTCAACTGCAGCAGATCAACTTGGCCATGTTTACATGCCGAAAAGCATTTAGTTGCCACCATGTGATTGGCTGATAAGTAACTTGTATTAACGAGCAGTTGGACAGATGTACCTAAGAATGTGGCCAGTAACAGTAGTTGGTGTCACGTTTAGGAGAGGAGGTTTGACCCAGGATGCAGGAGTACCCAGAACGACTCAAAGGCAGGAGAGGTCTTAAGAAAAACAATTCCTTTATTTAAGGCGGATGTGCTGAAAAGTCCAAAGCACAAAATAAGACTAATACTCAAAAGCTTGAAGAAACTCAAAATTAACTAAGCTCACACATGAGCAGGGACTCAGAGAGACTCGAGAGGGGACCAAACAACACAACACATTAGACAATGAACCAACAAACACAGAGTGACAAGACAGGGCTTAAATAGACTGGGAAGATGAGAGGGAGATGAATTGCAGGTGTGTGGGGAGAGGGACCAGGTGAACACAATTACTAACTCAGGGAGGAGGAAGAAAACACTGTTGGGAAAAAACACACTAAATAATGAAAGGCTGTAACAAAGGAAAATGCCCTAAGAGAAAAACAAAAGACCAGAAGGCATGAACCATAACTAATATTCTAAGGGGAAGCGGACACTAAAGGAAAACACTACAGAAAGAAACTACAGGGGCGTGGCTAAGAGGGGGCCAAGAGAGCACAGGACCTGGGAGAGGGAAGTCTGAGGGGGGAAACCTAGAGGGCAAATGGGGAACACCAGGAGACACATGAGGAAGATGCAGACACGACACATGAGGGCGCTGGAAGACACAAAAGGAGCACCTAGAGACGAATGAGGACAAAAGGAGACACATGAGGTGAGACACAGACACAGACCATGACAGTTGGATGGTCTAAAAAATTCTGTGAGAACCCTCTCTTTAATTTCAGTGTGCAACCAGAGCCGGGGGACTCAGGGATGGATCAAACAATCTCCGCAGCAGAACTCTCTGAAATAGTCAAACATCAATGCTGTGGCTTAGGTTTAGGGGTTGACTAGGTCTATCATGAGTATCTCTGGATATTGTCAGGCTGTCATGATTGACACACCTCTGCAACAGTGTGTGGACAACAGGGATGGTGCCTGTGGATTGAGAGACTGGGGGACTGCTCCCCATTTTCAAGAAAAGGGATCAAGAATGTGTTTCAATTATAGGGGGAATAACAGTCTTAAGCCTCCCTGGAAACGTTTACTCCAAGATACTGGTGAGGTGTGTCCTGGCTGACAGTTGAACATTGGATTGAGGAGGAGCAATGCCATCTTCGCCCTCTTCGTGGAAGTATGGGCAATCTTGTTACCATTGCTAGGGTGCTGAAGGGGTCTTGGAAGTTTGCTCAACCAATCATCATTTGATTTATGGATCTGGCAAAGGCCTCGTCCCGTAGGAGCACCATGTGGGTGGCAATCATGGAGTATGTGGTTGATGCTCCTCTTTCAAAGGCCATTAAGTCCCTGTGGGAGTATGGTTCACATAGCCAAAAGTAAGTCATTCCTAAAATAGAGGAGTTTAATAATCTGAGGGATTTGTTCATGAGTGAGGAAGGAGGGATCAGAAGATTGACAGGCTGCATCCTGCAGTGATGTGGACACTGAACCAGTGTGTTGTGGTGAAGAAGGACCTAAGCCAAAAAGCTAGCTCTTAATAGTCGGGTTCATCTCAATCTTCACCCAGGGTCAGGAGCTTTGAGTAATGACCAAAACTAAAATGAGTTTTTTATTTTTTGGGTTTTTTTTTTTTTTTTTTGCAGGGTGGTTGGACTCAACCTTAGAGATAGGGTGAGGAGCATGGACATCTCAAATAGGCTTGGAATAGAGCTTCATTTGGGAAGGATTCTTCATGGGTGCCTCCTAGGGGACAGGATTTAGGCATGTGCTCTAATTTCCCTCTGGGATTAATAAAGTATCTCTGATTGATTTGATTGATTGATGTCCTGCTGGCACAAGACACAGATGAATCCAGGATATGCTGAACAACTCCATTCTGGAAAGGGAACGCCTCCTACTGGTGAGGCTGTTGGAGGTTAGAGGAAGGTTTGGGCCTCTCTCCTGGAGTGTCTATCTCCATGATCACCCAAATGAGTAGAACCAATAACTGATCCTTATAGAACTTCACAGGTGATTTTTATAATCCTGATATACTGTTTCTAACTTGTAAATACTTTTCTTTCTTAAATAATTATAGGCCTCATTTCCCAAGACAATTTTGAAAGTAACCAAGTTCTAGTTGTTGTTTTTTTCCCCCTCAGTGACCAGGCTAACTTACATTAGCATTACTAGCAGATGAGGTATTTCTAAACTTTCTATGCATTCAGAAACTATGGAAACCTGTTTATTTTGCTTTGAGAGTTTACACTAATTGTCCAGTTGCTTTAGATATACTCTTTAAAAAGTACCTGAACTCCCCTTTTCACTTGTTTGTACTTTTCAGGGTTGTATCCCTGGTGGTAGTTTTTTTTTTTGGACTTTCTGTTCCCTCAACACCTACCAGAATGTTCTGGTTCCTCAGCATCTGACAAGGTGACCCCTTGAGATGGCCGATCATCACTCCACTTCCGTAATAATAACATTAGAACTCCTGTAAACAAGATTTTGACTTTGTTTTTAAACAGCAGAGACAATTTGTCAAGTTACATCAACAACCCATTTGCAAATGTTTTATCTCTAGGTTGTTTCAAGGTTGAATCTACCCCCTTAAACACAGATAAAAAGGATGATAGTACCTTAACTTTTAAAATAATCAGCACATGTAGGAGCTTTTATTTTCACTTCCCTCGAAAATGTTCTCGCAGATCTCTTGAGGTCCAGTATTAAACCACTGATGTGTGAAAGTCCCTCCATCTTGTGATTTAAAACATTTTTCAATTTTAAATAAGAATCAGAACTGAGGGGTGAGATTTCTTGTGAAAACAGGAAGGATTCACTAACAAACGAGTCATCCATGGACAGCAACATCACTTCCTGATTCCTAATTCCCTATTTTTGCACCCATTGCATTAAACATGGAGTAGGTAGGAGTGTGAATGCTGAATAAAACAAATAGATAATCTAAAAAAGTCATGTTGGATATGTTTAGTACATAAGTAGAGTAAGATAAGTGGATATTTATGATCCTCTTGTGTGGGATGCTACTAAACACAACAATACGTTAAAATGTTTGTATTTCTAAGCATGCTGTTGCTCTGACAGGCTGAAAAATCAGGCAGGAAGGGTGTGTGTGTGTGTTGAGTGGTTTCCTCTTTAGTAACTTGGGTGATCAGAATGTGCAGAAAGTGTGAAGGGTGTGTCCTCGTTAGGTTTTTGTGGTGGCAGTTTGCTGACAGCCTCCGTTTGAGCGCCTAATATCACAATTGGTATGATGCTATTGTGAAAAAAAGAAAAAAAATATATTTGCACAGTCCTGGGTGAGCTGTTGAGCCTACACTTGCCTTCCTGTGGCTCGATGCTTGAGAACCTCGGTGTGATTGTGACTGGTCCATGTGACTTGGTTTCCGTTGCCTGCCTGTTTCCGTGAAGAGTAAAAAAAAAAGAAAAAAAAGGAGGGGTGTGAGTATTTCAGCCAGAGGGGAGCGATGCAGCTGAATATCATATACGAGAGGAGTTTCTGCACAAGCAGGTCACCCAGCAATATGGTCAGGAGATCAACCGTCGGTGGCTTGGGAAATCCGCATCTAACCACCAGTGTGAGTACAACCTGCTGCTGCAGCACACACTGATACTCTGCCAGAGGAAGCACCTTTAAAAAGGCTGAGTCTAAACCTCTGGAGCATTTTAGCACAGTACCTGAAAGTTCTTATACAAACATGCTGAAGTCCCAGAACTGTCATGCCATTTTAGAAAATAATGCAACCATGCTTTAAACAGGATATATATATATATATATATATATATATATATATATATATATATATATATATATATATATATATATATATATATATATATATATATATATATATAAATAAAAATGTATATATATATATATAAATGTAAATGTATATATACATATATATGTGTGTGTGTGTAAATGTATGTATGTATATATATATATATGTAAATGTGTATATATATATATATATATATATACACTGTGTGTTATCAAAAATGCTGCACCATGTTGAGGCAGACTTTAAAAAGCTAAGCTATTTTTGATCAATTATGCACTTTCCAGAGAACAGTTAACATAAATGATAGATTCTACATTTGCTCAAAGAGATTCATTTGCAAAACTGTAGGAAGCAGCAAGTAAGTTTTATTCAGGTTAAAATGAAAGGCGAATTGTATTAAATACAAGTAAAAAAAACTTTAAACACAACTTAGTTGAAAAATACAAAGGTTAGCAATGCGTGCAGGCAAAAAAAGGAACATAAAACCTTCACAGTGTGTTTGCACGACATGGGTTTGCAAGGAAATTTGGGAAATTTCAACAAACTTGCTGTTCTAATGAGAAAATTCAAAAGCACTCATGGTGGCCAAAAAATTGTAAAGATCTCCCTATCTTCTTCTCCCTCAAAAGGTCGTAGCTTTTGCCTGGCCACAATAAGAAATGTATTATTTATCAGTTTGTGTTTTACATAAATAAAAGTCAAAGAGTCGTCGGCATACATGAGTAACAGAACTCTGCATGGATCAAACGGTCACATGAGGATTTTAATTTTGGTACTAAAAGGTTTAGAATCTGATTGTGTTTTTCACAAATGTAAAGTTATATTATACATATGAAGATGTATTGATGATGTAATTCAGGACAACACCTGTGTTGTATGCACCTTTTGAACAGTGAGGATGATAAGATGCTGGTCCACAGGCCTAGCCCCACCCTGCTCTGCTTGATGTCCCTGTGGAGAATCCTGACACCAGCCTCGTGCTTTCCACCAAACAACCAGTGTCAGCAGGTAACGTGTCTTTCATCGTTAAACAAGACAGAATCAGAAGCAGCATGGCTCACCTGAAAGGACAAACATGTTTGTGTAAAGAAGAATCTCCACACACAATATCTGTCTCTAGATTCTTAATAATTATATCAAGTTGTAAAAAAACAATCTATGGATTTTAAATTAACAAAAAACTCATAATGAAGTTACATTAGGATTCTATTTCGATTAAAAATATCTCTTTATTGTGTCTTGTTTGACGTGTGATGTAGTGTGTGATTGGTCCAGGGGTAGGCTGGGTCTCCAGTGCAGGAAAAAAACAGCCGTTTCTTACAGGTTTGGGGGAGTTGGTGATCAAACTGCAAAAAGTAAAATGAACATTTGTGTTGTGTTGCAGTCTAATTAGCCAACATGGCTGGATAGACAATAATTTTTAATTTTCCTACTGCTTTGTGTCTCCAGTTGTCTGAGTCTAGTGAGACACTGGTGTTAATCAAGTATTTGCAGACCACTCTGTAGCTGTTTTACAATAAGCTACAGGTTAAACAAGATGCTTGTAAAGCAGGTGAAACTCAAACAATTAGAACATGGAGCAAAATTATTATTCAGTAATCAAAGTTAGACTGAGACCATCTAAAGGCTCTTTGTAGGCATTTTGGATTCATTAGCTGATTAGAGTGTATATCAGAAAAATCATGTCTGTACTTGATCATTTAAAGAAATAAAACATTTCAAGATTTTTTCAACAAATATTAGTGATGACATCAAAGAATACGTTTTTATCATTAAATTTATAATATCCACTTAAGAATGTGTGACAAAATGGCTCATTTCAAAGTCACAAGTGGTGCGTTAATGGGAAAGTCAATAAAAAAGTTAATTATTTTGAGATTTTTGAATCTCCGTACTACGTTTTTGCATCGTTTTAATAAGGCTTGGCATTATTAAAATAAAGGTTTAATGAAACTTCTTGTGCTCATTACTCCTCCGCCATTGAAAATATCATCTCTCGTTTCCCCTACAGATACAAAGAATGGCTCTCTGCAACAACCTCAAACTCGCTTCTGTACCTCCGGGACTCTCTGACAACTTAGAGGAGCTTCAGCTAAACTACAACAACATCAAAACACTACAGAACAACTCTTTGTTGCGTTACTCTTCACTAAACACCCTGAGCTTAGCTTGCAATACGTTGGAGAAATTAGAATCAACTGTTTTTCAAGAATCAAAATTGGTGGAGAGCTTAAATTTAGCTAATAACGACCTGAACATTGGCTACCAAGAAACCAGCCTTGCATTGAGGAGCTTACCTGGCCTTAGAACCCTAGATCTCTCTGAAAACAAACTGGACGATGAAATGACTTCAAATCTTCTCCAAAATCTGAGATCCCTCGAGTATCTGAACCTTTCTGGGAACCTCTTGAGGAGACTGGATGAGACCTCTTTCATGGATCTTCGCCAGCTTAAAGACCTCAACCTTCAGCGAAACATCATGTTTGAAATCGACGGTGCCTTTGGCAACAACCCGAATCTCCAGCGGCTCAACCTGGCCTTCAACTATCTGCCCTGCCTGACGGACTTTGATATGACTCAGCTGGTTGTCCTGAATGCTAGCCACAACATCATTGAGTGGTTCATCTCCAGGCAAGAGTTTAACGACACCTTCCTGTTGGAGACACTTGATCTTTCCAACAACAAACTCCTCTTCTTCCCTTTCCTGCCCAGCAAGAGCAATTTGCAGAACCTTTATCTGTCCCACAACACTGTGAGATTCTATGAACACTTTGCGGACAATGCTACGTTCCCAAACTCATCTTCAACAGTTGAGTTCTACAATCTAAGGAAGCAGGAGAGCAACGTGACAGCTAAATTGTGGGATGACGGTCTTAATGGTGATATCTCCATGCTGAAGATTTTAGATCTGAGGGGAAACCAGGTGACGTACTTCCCTCATGGATTCATCCAGAAGATGTCTGCCCTCTCCAGGCTTCGAGTGAGCACAAACTGTCTAGAAACCTTAAATCTGACATCAGAACAGTTCTCCAGCAACTTGTATGAGCTGGACGTCAGCAACAACAGACTAAACCAGATCGTAGCAGATGATGGTGCTCTCACCACTCTGGGGAATCTGACATACTTTAATCTGAGCCGAAACGATCTAAGGGAGTTACCGTCTGGATTATTTTCGTCATTGCCGAGAATCCTCTCTGTGGATCTCAGCTACAACAGCATTAACATTTGCCTTTCAGAGGAAACTAAAACGCGCTCAGACAACATCTCAGTTTGCGTGGACTGGAGCAAGATCCTCTCCCTCAGATATCTTCACCTTAAAGGGTGCAGCCTAGAAAGGATTCCAGAATCTGCGTTTGCAGGGCTGTCGCTAACTCTACTAGAATTGTCCGATAATCCTGGAGTCGATGTCCAAGGTTCATTCCAGAGCTTAAGCAGGACGCTGTGGCATCTCGGTTTAGGAAACACTCAAATCCAAGACTTTGACTTCTCCCATTTTCAAAGCCTGAAGTCTTTGAACCTTTCAGGAAACTCCCTCCCCCACATTCCTCCTTCACTACTAAACATTGACCTTAAAGTGTTGGACATAAGAGACAACCATCTGTCTACCATCCCACCCAGTCAGGCTCATGCATTGTCCTCAAAACTCCAGAGTATTCTTCTCACAGGAAACCCCTTCAACTGTTGCCAGACGGAGTGGTTCAGGACATTTGAATCAGCAGAGACGGTGATGATGGTTGGGCAGTCGGACATCACGTGTGAGGATCTGCTGCTGAAGACACACAAAGTCAAGGATTCCCACTCATTTTTCTGTCTGAATGCAGGGGAGTCTGTAATTTGGTACATTCTGCTTTTTGTGCCTGTCTGTCTGTTCTTTGTTGGAATCTCTATTGTTGTTTTCCTCACATTCAAGCCTCAAATGCTACAAAAATCAATCAAAAAGACATATTTAAAGCCCACATCGTACTGATACTTTATAAGTTCCAAACAACTCTGTGTTTTCAATGTTTTCATGAGAGATTAAGCTGAGTGTTGATAATAAACTTGACTGGTAAACAGTAATGAGCATGCCAGCGTCGTGTGTTGGTTCTTTCTTGTGTCTGTGTTGTTGTTTAGTGGTCTGTGGTCCAAAACCAGGCCCTGATCCTGACATTGTCATGTAAAACTGTGGCTGAGTTCTTGTGGGACTTGGTGTGTGTGTGTGTGTGTGTGTGTGTGTGTGTGTGTGTGTGTGTGTGTGTGTGTGTGTGTGTGTGTGTGTGTGTGTGTGTGTGTGTGTGTGTGTGTGTGTGTGTGTGTGTGTGTGTGTGTGTGTGTGTGTGTGTGTGTGTGTGTGTGTGTGTGAGAAGAAATGCAGAAGTAGTGTGATGCAAGCTGTTGCTATAAGAGGCAGAGGAAACGTGAAATTTCCTGTTTTGCTAAGATGTGCAGCAACTGCCCAGTTCTGTATCTCAAAGAGGAGGGGTTCGTGGTTTCCTTCCCATCAGTGAGACAAAGATGCATCATTGACTTTATTTTCCAATGAACCAGAACATATAAAGCTGTCGGTTTGGGCCTCTATATCGATGCTGATAAGTCTATTCTGATGCACAAGAACCTCCTGCAGATCAACAAAGGAATCATATTTATTTGTCACACAGCAGCACAGAGACGAAACAGCAGCGTGTCATTGTTGTCGTCTTTGAGGAGTGGCATGGTTGCTAAAGTGCCAGAGCCTAACCAGAAAGTAACCGAAATACCGCTGTGGTGATGCGCAGGGTCATGGTGGTTGGAACATAAAAAGAAAAACCAGAGTGAAGCTCTGTCAAAGCCTCAAAACTTCATCAGAAACATCCGTGCATGTTGTTTACATCATTATTTAACATTCTGCCGTTACTAGAAATGTCCTGTCTGAGCTCATGTTGGACAGCAAGAACTAAAGAACAGGGACAAGTCCTGGATTTATTCTCACTGAAGCAAAAACTACCACCAAATGTAGGCGTGCAAACCAAAGTTCTCAGTTTCTGTTGAGAAGGAGCTCTGAGGATGGTTGGGGTCACGGTTGGCGTTGGGGTTAGGAGGAGTTATCAGGTAGAATTTAACTGGACCTGAAATTTAAAGAGACAAAATAAAAAAGAAGGAACTTGTGAGAGGAAGGTCCTTTGCTGCTGGTCATTTTTAAAGCCAAGAGGAATCTAATTTGACTACTCAGCTTTATAAAGTAAGAAGTCAGCTTTATAAACAGGGTGAGAGAGCTTTTATAATGATAACATTAACTTTCCCAAGTTAGTATTTGATGGACTTGTACAGATTCTTTTTTTTCTTCCCCGTGTCCTGTCTGGCTGTGAAGCAAACAGAATTGATGTCTGAATGCTGGTGACAAGCCTTACAGATTTACTCTCAGGTGGAGCATTAAAACGTCTGCTTTTAATGTCACGCCTGATACTTAAAACGTTTTGTTTTTGAATGCTTTTTAATTCCGACCAGACACGGAGACAGGGGTGAAAGAGAAAGGAAGAGACAAAAGGTGGGTGTTCCACAGAAATCCAATCCAATCCAATCCAATTTTATTTATAAAGCGCATTCACAAGGCATTACAACCAAACAAGGCGCTGTACACTAAAAATGTTGGTTAATTAAACAGGCGTTATATAAACATGTCGAACACAGATAAAAGATAAAAAGGAAATACAACAAAATTCCCAAAAATAACAGCTAAAAATCATTAAGACACAGGGTGAAGTAAAAATAGGAAAAAAAAAACATTTTACAAAGAACCTCAATAATACGGAAGTCGATAATTGTGGAGTCAGTTTTTAAACAGTGCAGATGTCATTGAGGTTCATAAGTATGTTGTATAAGCTAGGTTGAAGTAATGAGTTTTCAGGCGTGATTTAAAAATGCTAGCTGTTGGTGCTTGCCTCACTAGCAGTGGTAATGCGTTCCACAGCTTCGGTGCACAGACAGAGAAAGCCCTCTCTCCACGGCTTTTTAAACGTGCATTGGGAACAGCTAGGAGGAGCTTATCTTCAGACCTGAGAGCACGCACGAAATAAACAATAATGAAGAAGAATCTGCTTCTAGACCTGCAGATAACAACAATACAACAGGAGCAAGCTATCACTGCGTCAACTTGATGAAGAAATATATAATCAACATTGTTTAACTGAACAATCACACGATAATAAATCACAGTGCATTTAGTGCCAACCACAGCCTTACGACATGTGTTGAACGTGCCCAAGTCCATACTTGTGAGAGCACCATGTGAGCACCTGTGTGTGTACACGCGCTTGTTTATGTAAGGTTTCTCTATAGGAGCATCCAATAGAGAGTGCGAGGGACGACAGATCTGCCCCCTAAAGATGCGCAGGAGACAGGGGGAGCTCCAAGTCCCAGAGATCCAGAAGCTGCCCCAGAGCACAGGAACCCCAAGGAGACTGCGACCAGAAAAGCCCCCGCCCCTCTCGAGAGGCGCAGAGGATCGCCCCGGGGAGCCACAATCAGCAGCCGGCAGAGTCCCGGGAGACATCAGCGGCAAGCCCACAGGCCCGCCCACATTCTCCCACCCCCTAGCCGGCCAAGCCCGCGACCCAGCAACCCGGGACCCAGGGGCGACCACCCCCGCCGGGGACCCAGCAGAGCCCCGGGACCCAGACCCCACCAGGCAGCCAATGGGATTGGTCAGGCAGATGCCAGAAATCTTAAACTCCCTGACCCGGGAGCCACGAACACTCAGGCAGACCAAGGCACCACACCCCACACCAGGTGTGGCAGGGGGAGGGGAGACGAAGATCTATATCATCAAAAGAAGTCCCAGGAGAAGGGAGGAGTCAAAGGCCCCAACTGACATATACAGTCATACACAAGCACAGTCACACACTCCCTCCCTCATCCTCACACATGCACATACAACGAGAGACTTACAAAAATGCACGCCGGACACCCACTCATGCTCCCCATGCACACCCTATTCACTCTGGTCCCGGCACTGCTGCACATGGGATACGACCATTATCGGTTACCAGAGTTTGACCCTTTCTGCTGGGGTGCTGATGAGCAGGCTCCCCCGCCCAACGCTGAGCACAGCAACCCACCACCCCAGACCCCAACCAGACGGCCAGATCTCCCTCCTAGCCTCCAGCCCCAGGAAGCCAAGCGACAACAGAGGTGTGCTAAGACCCCTGGTCTCCCTCCGCCTGCTCCAATATAGTGTTAGTGTGTGTTGATGAGGTGTATTCCATGGATGTGGTGAGCGGGTAGTGAAGGCTTCGTCTGGCCTATGCCAGCTGATGCCACCGCACCACTCCATTTGCACCCACAGCCCTTGGTGTCTAAGTGCAGTTTAAAATTGGAAGTGGGCACCGGCACTCGGGATGAGGCTGAGAAATTCCCCTGCCAAATGCCGTTGAATGTGCTCACTCCCAAGGCCCTAAGTGTGTGTTTGTGTGGAATGTCGTTGGTGGAAGTGTATAAGGTGCAAATAAAATTGGGGGGCAGGTTGCCACAGGAAGGCAGAAATGGGATCCATACCCACACTCCCTGACTTGCCCACCCCCCAAGGTCCTATGTGTATGTTTGTGTGATGATGTGAGGGAGCAGGAGGAGAGAAATGTGTGGGGATGGGGAGGAATGGCTGGCTGGGCTTAGCCCTCCAGGGAGCCAGCTCCCCCACTGGCTAACTGGACGTGTACAGATTTTTAAAGAGGCATGGGAAAATGCCCGCTTCCTGAACCAAAAACACACATCAATGAGGATTTTTCTGCGATAAGCAGCTGAGCTTTTATTATGTGGTGCAACCCTGAGGCGGGTTATCAAACACACATCACAAAGACGTGGACCTTTTTGGCACGTGTTTCTTTCCTACTGAAGAACAGATGAATGCAATTACGTTTGAAGAAGTGAAATCTGATGGGTAATGATCAGATGAGATTCATTCTGACAGCAGTTACGCCCTGTGGGAATAATCTAGAAAATCTCCTTGATGTCAGAAAAACACAGCTCTGCAACCAGGCCAATCAGCAGTAGCACTATATTTGTGTAATTAAAGGGATTTTTAGGCCACTTGTATTCTGTGTAAAACATTATAAATAATCACTATTTTACCAGCTTCCTGATCAGATTCTGGAGATAAAGTTTGCATCTCCAACAGGACTGGAGCTCTGGACAAACGTGTCTTGCTCCCATCTTTAAAACCTCTCTAACCTCCCAAATGGGATTGCAATTGATGCAGCGTTATAATATAAACCATAATTTTACATTACATGGTTATTTTCCTGTCTTTCAGGTCATGCATGGTGACTAGACTTCCTCTCTGGTGTCACGATGTGCGGGTGTGGTGAGCGGAGGTGAGAATCCAAATGCAGGGGAAGCAGGCAGGCAAACAGACCAAGACATTCAGAAGGGTTTTAATAAAACACGCAGGACAACGAAACAATGAACTCTCACACAGAACTGAGAGGGTTTAAATATTTGAGGAGCTGGGAGCTTGGGTGATTGGAAAACGAAAGGCAGGTGGGAGTAATCAGCAGACACAGGACTGAACAGAGTGGGGAGACAGGACAGGTGTGACATCTGGCTTCCTTTTAATCACCCTAAATTTTAAATGAACTCAGATTTAAATGTTAGGCTGCTGAAACAAAATGAGCCGTTACTGAGTACGAGTAAATCCATGTTTGTTAAACTAAAGCACTCATCTGAGTGGACTTTGTTAGCATTAGTGTTAGCGATCAACCATTAGCCGTTCATCCCTGACTGGAGGTTGTAACGTTTACTGTGACTCACTTTATGTCATCACTATTGTTCAGTAAACCAGCAGGGTCTTCTTTTATTGCTCAACCTTTCACTTCTGCTCTCTTGTCACATGAAAAAAAAGTGTTTGGCAAAAAACTAAACATGATTAATTCTCTAATATGGCTGCATGTACGTTCGAAATATCTTCTAAATCACTTCCACTAGCTGTGGTGGGATCTCAAGGCCATCCCATGCCATTCTAGATTATAATCCCTCCAGCATGTCCTGGATTGAGCCAGATTTCTTCTCTCATCTGGACATGCCCTGAAACAACTCTGAGCCCCGACACC